ATTCTGTGATTCTGTGAAAACCATCTGCCTGAAACACAGTTTGGGGCCAAAAGAGGGCAGAGATGCAGTTGAAATATTAAACACCCAGTCAAGTATCATCCATCTTGCCAGGAGCTGCATGACCATCTCCAGTGGGACTTCTCCTAAGTCCCTTCTACAGCCATAACCAGAAGTCAGTGCTGGTGTGCGAGCAGTTTTCTGCAGGAATGGCTTTGTTCTTCCATGGTCATACAGCACCAGGCTTGCTTGTGACTGCTCCTGCAACATGAATCAACACTGAATAAAGTATGTCCCCTTTCTGGAAGTGTTCAAGGCCAGGCTGGATGAGGCTTTGAGCAACGCGGTCTAGTGGAAGGTGTCCCTGCTCATGGCAGTGGGGTTGGAACTGGATGATTTTTAAGGTCTCTTTCAATCTATACCATTCTGTGATTCACATTTTAAAATGAACTCTCCCAAAAAAGTCTGGATCTGGTGTACAGGATTCGAGAATATCCAGTGCTGGAGTCTTGGACAGCAGAAGCCTCTGTTCACAGAGCAGATACAAGGATCAGTCTGTATTTCTGCAGTCTTGTAGTCTCCATCATACACTGGAGGAACATGCTGCCCATCAGTGCCTCCCTGTTGATGGGCTTAGTCCCTACTGTTAAAATAGCAGCCACCGTTACAAATCAGGAAGAGAAAAAGGGGGCAAATAGTTGTCACTACACAAATCCCTTTTTCTTAAGACTTCAGGGTTGATAACACACTAGGGACACCTCATTCAGCTCCGGGCTGACATGTCCTACACATCCCTCTCAGCTTGCTGTTAGCTTCAGGACACTGACAAATCTCTTTTAAGTAGGCATCTAATCTAGATTCCCAGAAGTAATGAACAGTTCATACTTAGCCCAACAGGAGATTCAGTTATTCAGCACATCAGAAAATCAAGAGTATTTGTATGGGTACTTAAAACATGGAATTAAAGCTTAAATTTAGGAAATCAGCCCAGAAAAATACCAAACACTTCAGCTGAAGCAGTATAACCAATACTGTACTGCCAATAAAGCAAATGTGTCTAACAGGTCACCATCCTCTTCATTTTCTGTAAAATCATAACCTTTTAAGACACCACACAAAAAGAAACTAAAAAACTGCTGCTTCAGATCATAGTTACAAGTACGGACCTTACAGAAAATGGTGGGTGCACAATTTGAGGTAGGCAAAGACAAACAAATAAGTAAAACTTTGTAGCTGCAATGAAGAATTCCAAATTAAGTGCTGCTGAGGCTTTTGAGAGGGCGCTGATGAATCATGGAAAGAAGAAAAAAATATGGATGTGTAAGCAGGAAGAGCTGGAGGTGTTAAATAAAAAGTTATTTGAGAAACTACTAAAAATAGGAAAAAGTCAGTAGTAAGTTTCCAGAGGAGGAAGTAAACACTGAATCAGATTTTTAAAGGCATGCAAGATACAGCCATAGCTGAGAAAATCTGAGCCAACACATCAACACAGGCTAAGAGGAAGAATGTGAATTTGCCAAAAAAATACTTGTTACTAACTACATTATCTGTGACAACCAAGGTCTGAGTAAGGACTTCTGTCAGCAGGTCTGATCCTTTTCAGGTGTCCACATCTGTGTGTCTTGGCATTTCCTGTGGCAGCACCTAAAGGACAACAGCTTAAAAAACTGGTTCCAACATCCTGGATTTGTACAACATCCACAAAGAGACGAAACTGAGGCGATGTAGGTCTGCTGACACTTTAGAAGGAGGTACGTTTATGCTGCCTTAGTGACCCCATGGTAGAGAAAAATACTTCATTTAAAGCATGAATCTCCTACACAAAACAATGAATGAACAAGTCCCCTCCACTACACTTCCAGGGATAAACTTTACCTTTAAGTCTTCAACCACAATAAGGATTTTTAGAACTAAATGGTTCAAAACTTGCCAGCAAAGCAATTCTCAGCAAATGGAAGATCTCCAACTCATCAAACTGGAAGCTCAGAAACTGGCATTACAGAGAAAACAGCAGAACAGCTGGTTAGAAGACACGAAAAATAGTCTGTGTACCTCAGGAAATGCTTACAGTCACTCACTCAGAACAGAGGTATTTGCTGAAATCAGAGCCATAAATAAATCATATTGCTTAAAGTCATGTTTCAAGCTAAGTTCAGATCATACTAAAACTGTTATCAGTGCTTAACTTTCTACAGCATGCCACTCAAATTATTTGACTCTCACAAGCAGAACTATATTCATAAGCTCACAAGCTAATTCATATTAGGCTAATTTCTTTGTTTTACCAGGTAGTAGCAAAGGCCTGAAAGTGTTGCTCAAGGTCAAACAGAAAACACACAGCAGGACCAATAACAGAATCTAGCTTGTTATTGCCCCAAGTCCTGTGGTTTCAGTATTAGTCAGGCTGGTTCTTCACCTCTGCTGCAGTGAGGTTTTCTAATGGTGGATTAGAACCACTGCCAACAGCAGCACACATGGTGTAGAAGTGACCGACTCCGTGGGAAGACCTTGTGCAACAGGACAGTAATGAAGCCAACACACACACTAGGTAAAATACAAGGAGGTTTTTTTTTAAAAAAAAATTGTTTTCTGTTTTACAAGCAAATGTTTGTACAGAGGTTGGTGGAACACAAGCAGACAAAATAAGCAAAACACAAGACCAAGGGTTTGTCATATAGATCTGCAGCCAAAACTTAATAAAAGGGCAAGAACTGGAGATATTCACAGCGTTGATCAACTACAGGTCTATACCCCCTCCCCCCCGATACATGTGTATAACAGGAAAAAGACATCCAGCATCAGCTTGCAAGCAGCTAAAATGCCCTCAGAGCTCACTTCCATTTTAGTATCTGCACAATTCTAGGTGCAATGGAGCACAGAGACAACTGTCATCATTGTATAACCACTTCTTGCCAACTCTTTGTCACATACTGTTCCCAAACAAGAAGCAAACATAAAATCAGGAGCAGAGTGCTATGTATTATTTTACATCAGATTAAGAAAAAGAGTTGTAGTGTTTAGTAGTTTAGTTTGTCAACTCTTTGGATTTTCCTATGAGGATCTTGTTCCATCGCCTTCTACTTTGAAAACTTCCACTGGTACTCCTTCTCAAAAAATAAAAAAAGAAAAAAACCCAACCTTGATGTTATTTCACCCCAAATATAGAAATAGAGAGAGCAAATGCCAGGTTTGAATCAATTAAACAAAAACTTAGTTACCTACATGTGACGTTAGAGGAAGTGAGAATCTGATAGCTGGCCAGATACAAGAATGAGTTTCCCTTGGTTCTACCTACAGCATTTCAATAGCAACCTGTAGTCAGATAACTCTGGATATTTCTAGCAAAGCTCCTGCTAACAGTCCACTCATCCTGATTCAAACAGCTAAGCTTTTTAAATTCCTCCCTCCTTCCATTTCTCTGGGTTAAATGTGTATTTTCTTTGGATTTGGGAAGAAAGACCCATTCCTTGTGACTTTAGTCTCCATTCTGGCACAGAAAGTATTGTCCTGGAGTCAGGAGAGAACAAACTAGCTGCCAACCATCCAACGACCCCAAATCACTCTGGTGTGCAGAGATGGAGGACTTATGAGAGCAAAAGCTGTAACTCTGAGAGATACCATCAGGGAAGAGAAGTATGATAGCGCATAGTCCTTTTCCAAAGCTTCCCACTTATTCTGGATGTAGCACAGGGACTCCATGATGAAGCATCAGAACAAGGAAAGCAGGACCAGAGACAAAGCATCTTGTCAGCAGTGGCTTTTCAAAAGAACAAAGTCATCTGAAAGCTCAAAAAAAAACCAGGATCCCCAGAGCAATAAGCAGAATTGTGCAATTCAAAAACACACAGACGTGAATCTTAATTTCAAAGGGCTTTATATTACAAAAAAAAATGTAAGTCACAACGAATGTGAAAAATCCATTCAATGAGGCTTGTTTCCAGTTTGCTAGGAAAGCTACTTTTCTCTTCTTTATTCCCAGCCTACCGCTGAAAACATGATTGCCAAAACAGTGACACCTCCAGCTAGATTTTTAAAATCAAACTTGCTCTGCCAGATCCAGTACTCTGAACTTGTCCAGGTTGTAGAAACAAGCCTTCACGACTCTGCCTCCAAAGTATCTTCCATTTAGATCTACAACAGCTGGAATGGAAACCAAGAACAGGTCAGCAAGCAGAAACTTCATAAAATAAATATTTCTTTAGCCAAACAGTTTCATCAGTGAGACCGTTTAATCTCTCTACAGAAGTTAACTCTGAGGTTCACAAGACACAATTTATTATCCTACCTTTGATGGCAGATTCAACCCGTTCAAACTCTAAAAATATTCTTACAGCTTCATCATCAGGGGCACCAGGAATCTGAAAGAAAAAAAAAAAACCCCAAACCCACAAACAATTAGAACAGTAGCAAAAATACTGTTTTAAATTGCTGTTCTTCACGCAAGTACTGAAGAGAGAACAATAAAAAAGTTCCAAAAAGCACAATACCCAGAGATTTTTTGCCCAGTTTCTGACATTAAAAGTTTTTATCTTACAGATATGGAATACCCAGAATTACAACACAGCAAAGGGCCCTGCGAGATATTCCAATCTACGCCAATATTAGGCAGTAACAAGCCAGTTGTGAGGAATAAGTGCCCAGTTTGCTTTCAGAGAAGCCAAAAAGAGAGACAGAATATCTCTTACCTCAAAGATGACACATTTCCCAACCTTGCCGTATTTCTCACATTCCTCCTTAGTTTCAACTTCCAGATCTTCGTCCACCTCCCCAGCTCCTACCATGTTCTGAAAGTTAAAAGAATAAACCCAACTCACTGGATGTAGTCTGTATAGATAATTATGTAGGTAAATCAAAGATACATGTAACTGTGACCATGAAAAACCTTTAAATTCTGTTTACCAGTCAAGAGCCACAGGAGGAGACAGCTCCTCAGTACTAAGACAAGGTAACTGTATAATCTGAAGCAGTGTTACACAAGTTGTATCTCAAGAATCACAGAATCACAGAATGTTAGGGATTGGAAGGGACCTCAAAAGATCATCTAGTCCAATCCCCCTGCCAGAGCAGGAACCTAAATGAGATCACACAGGAAGGCGTCCAGGCTGGTCTTGAATGTCTCCACAGAAAGAGACTCCACAACCTCTCTGGGCAGCCTGTCCCAGGGCTCTGTCACCCCC